TTTGTACTTTTATTTACCATTAAAATCCTATTTTTGTATTTCTGCCGAGTTGAGTCCCTGTTCTGCACTCTGGGTTCGCTCCTAACCGCAAACCATGACAGTACGACCCGACCAGAACAGAACCCAGCGGGCAGGGTTCTCACTCGGCAACACTCACCATTTTTCTTTTTTCCCTCCCCGTGCTGTGATGGACGAGCTCCTCTCCGTCTCTGTCCATCCACCGTCCCGCCGCCGCCGCGGTGGACGGTTCCGGAGGCAGTCTGCAGCGGCCGGGCCGGTCTCGTCGGCCGAACAGAACTTCAGAGCTGGTTCCGGTGTTTTCGTGGGAGCGGGGTCCGTCGCTTCACCTCCCAGGTTTCCGGTGGGGGCGAGATCCAGCGTCCCGCGGGAGCTCCAGTCCACTCCTGTTCGTTTCGGTGAGTCCGGTCCGGTTGACGTTACAGGGGCGGGTTCCGTCGCTTCACCTTCCAGGTTCCTGGTGGGGGCGGAATCCGGCCTCTCACCGCCACTCCGCGCTGCGGCTGTTCGACCCAGCCCGGCCGTACCTCCGGAGAGTATTCAGTGTGACTCCGTGGGGGCGTGTCCCGCCGCCTCACCTTCCAGGTTTCCGGTGGGGGCGGCACCCGTCACCACATCCACTCATACACACATTCCCTTTTTTCATTCTTTTTCCCCTGAAAATATTTTTTATGTTAATCAAGCCCTTTTTGAACTATTTAATTCAGTTAAAAATAACCCGTCCTCCTTTGATTTAGTTTTGACCCAGATGGAGGATTTTTTACTTTCTATCCCAGGCCTTTCTTTGCTCCCAGAGTATGATTTTTTATTATCTGAATTAAAGACTCTAAAGACTCCTTGTTCATCCACTCCTGAGGTGGACCCCACGCTGCACGCAGCCTCTGAGGTGGGTCCTCAGCTCTCCAATTCTCCTGCTGCAGAGCCACAGGCCTCCAAGTCGTCTGCTGCAGAGCCACAGGCCTCCAAGTCGTCTGCTGCAGAGCCACAGGCCTCCAAGTCGTCTGCTGCAGAGCCACAGGCCTCCAAGTCGTCAGCTGCAGAGCCACAGGCCTCCAAGTCGTCTGCAGCAGCAACTCCCCTGGTCTCTCCTCCAGCAGCAGCAACTCCCCAGGCCTCTCCTCCAGCAGCAGCATCTCTCCTGGTCTCTCCTCCAGCAGCAGCAACTCCCCAGGCCTCTCCTCCAGCAGCAGCATCTCCCCTGGTCTCTCCTCCAGCAGCAGCAGCCCCCCAGTCTCCCAGGCCGTCTGCTGCAGCCCCCCAGGCTCCCATGCCGTCTGCTGCAGCCCCCCAGGCTCCCACGCCGTCCGCTGCAGCCCAACAGGCTTCCACGCCGCCCGCTGCAGCCCAACAGGCTTCCACGCCGCCCGCTGCAGCCCAACAGGCTTCCACGCCGCCCGCTGCAGCCCAACAGGCTTCCACGCTGCCCGCTGCAGCCCAACAGGCTTCCACGCCCTTCGCTGCAGCCCAACAGGCTTCCACGCCCTTCGCTGCAGCTCAACAGGCTTCCCTTGGGTCCTGTGTTTTGGACGGCCGCCCCCCTGACCTGGCTTGGCTTGATGGACAGCCTCCCGGCCGCCCGCCGGAACAGTGACTCTTAGGGACGGTCCCTTGACCGTCCATATCCCTTGTGATCCCTCGTGTCTCCCTTTTTTCTGGCTCCCTTTTCTGGTTCCTCGTTTTCTGGTTCCTCGTGTCCTTTTTCTCTTTGGCTCCTCGTTCTCTCTGGTTCTTCGTGTCCTTTTTCTCCTCGTGTCCGTTCTCTCCTCGTGTCCTTTTTCTCCTCGTTCTCTTTGGCTCCTCGTGTTTTGTTTTTCTCTGGCTCCTCGTGTTTTGTTTTTCTCTGGCTCCTCGTGTTTTGTTTTTCTCTGGCTCCTCGTG